TTAGGATGTGGCTAAGGCTTATAGCTCCTGTCGACATGATTACATTCTACAGATGAAGCCCCTTAGCAATGAAGATTCGAGATGATTGTTCTTTGGTAGGATGTTTGACTCGGAAGAAGCCTGCCCTCACCAGATTAAAGATATTTCAGTTGAAATACTCAAAACATGTGGTGGTTTGCCTCTTGCGACTATCATCATATCATGCATGTTAGTGAGTGAAGGTTCCAACCAAGTGGAGTGGGAATATGTACGGAATTCTTTGGGCTCTGGTACAAATGTCACGCTGGAAGGGATAAGGCAAATCTTAAACCTAAGCTACAAAAACCTTCCTCCTCTTCTCAAGAAATGATTGTTGTATTGTAGAGGAGGAGCTCGGGATTGGATTTCGTGGGGCTTCGGGTTTCAGGGATTATCCATCGGCGATTCTCAAAGGAGGAGGGGAAATCGCCTTTGGTGGGTTTCGGGAGAGGAACAGTTGCGGGAGTCATTGCCGAACGTTTAGCCAGTATAAAAGACCACCTCCATTTCACCACAAGTGCCATCAAAAACCTGAAGCTCCGCATCGCATCCTTGAGAGTTCAATTGGAGAGGTCCAAAGCCAAATCCCGTATAGCCCGTCTCTCTAATGATGAGTGGAAGGAGCCGCCGGACCCAGGACGTTCACAATCAACGGAGCCAGGTACTAATTCGTCCATTAAGGGACATGAAGAACATGACGATTCACGGGTGCCGTTTCGTCCCGAGGAGAAGGAAACGCCATCATTTACAAGGAGTAAATCAGAGAATAAAGCAGGTATTAACAAGGTCTTGGAGGAATTTCTATTTAGAGGGAGCCTTCTTCTGCATAATCCATCCGAAGCTCCGCACATCCAGTATCGGTCTCTTCCCATGCTCACAAGGTGTTTGGGTTTTTGCCTGAGTGCAACGATGGGGCGAAGAAGAGCTTCCAGGAGGCGACTGGTCCTGGTGCTGCCAGGGAGCTGGCGGCTGTACCTTCAGCTGGGAACTCGGGCATCTTCTTCTCCACCTCTCAGCGGCCAGGGAAGGAGGTTGCCAAGGCTTGTTCGGGGCCTGAGAAGAAGACTCTCATCGTCAACATGTCCGGGGCTCGAAATGCGGTGCAGATGCGTTTCCTGGCGGTCGGACTGTTCCTGTCCGTTCTATTGGTGAACTCCAGGCAGCTGATCGACCACATGAAGAAGGTTTGGAAGATTCATGGCGAACTGGGTGATCATGAGCTGGCTGCAGATGAAGGGCGCAAATTCGTCCTCGAGTTCTCGGAGGATGGTGACCGGCAACACGCCATCAAGGGTGGTCCATGGCAGTACAAGGGCGATGCGTTCCTGGTCATCGGCCTGGAGAAAGAGGTTGATCCGGCTTCGGAAACTTTCTCTCATATTCCGATGTGGGTTCAGTTCAGGGGAATCCCCTTCTACCTCCTCACCAAGGAACTTGCCTGCAACCTGGGGGACCATGTCGGGCAAGTGGTGATGATCGATCAGCATGCCAGGGGCAACATCTGCGACAAGTTCCTCAGAGGAGGGTACAGCTGCCCTTGTTCTTGGCGCTGCAAAAGGAGATTACGCTGGCTGATGAGATATCTGAGGAAGAAGTTACATTATACCTGAGGTATGAAAGACTGCCAAACTTTTGCTTGTTCTGCGGATTCATAGGACATATGGAAGCGAGGTGTGATATTCCTAATGAAGAGAAGAAGTTGAGGTACAACAAGGAACTTGGTGTACTCCCGGTCCATTTCGACGACCCCTGTGCTTGATTCCTGCCAGAGAAGATGGGGCAAAAACAGGGGCCCCATGTGTCTCCACCCCTGTGGCGTGCTCCCAAGCCTGCGTGCCATGAAAATTCTGTGCTGACCGCAGTGGAACAAATGCGGAAGGTTGTTGCTGGCCTCTCGGTGGATGACGGGATGGAAACTGGCACAAATCAGGAGGAAATTCAGGACATGGTGAACCTGACGACTGAGAAAGTCGACGCCACTAAGGCGTTGGCTTTGAATATGACTCACACCACTGCCTCCTCCAACCTGAAGACGGTGGACAACTCCTACGCCTTGTCCTCCGTCGAGCTCGTGCCACCAATGGGCCTCAATACACCCGTGTTGGCGGAGTTTCAACCAGAGGATCTAGAAGAACCTAACTTCCCTCTGGGTCTTGGACCCACGCCATTCTTCGTTGGCACTGCCGCCTCGGCCGTCGATGAGGCTTCGCCGGCCCAGATCACTCAAGACCCAGAGACCCTGGACATCACTGGTGAGGAGGGTGCGGTTGAGAACAAGAATAGTTCTAAAGGGGAAGCCCCCATTACGGGGTGTGTGCAGCCGTTGCAGAATATAGAGGATGCCGTTGAGGGATCTGGCAAGGTGCGGGGTGTAAGTACAGAGACAAACTCTGAGAAGAAAGAGGGTACAAATGGCAGGAGAACATATCCGAAGAGGAGCGGTAAGGGCACGGTCGTTTTAGCTTCAGTTCTGGGCAAGAGAGATGCATAGGATCAAAGTGATTCAAATGGTGCATGTACTGAAGGTGGAGCTGAACCTGACCAGTACAAGAAGAAGAGAGCGATGGAGGTTCCAAATGGAAAGAGTAATACCGGCATAGTTGGCGGACAGGAAGCAACCGGGCCTGGGGCTCCCGGTCCACTGGTGGGTGCAATGGCTAGCACCCACCAGGTGCCATGACGGTCATAAGTTGGAGCTGCCGGGGCCTCGGGCAGCCCCGGACAGTTCAAGAGCTTGTGTGCTTAGTGCGCACGTACCGTCCATCTCTAGTTTTTATCTCGGAAACTAGAAAGTGCGAGAATTATGTAAATAAATTGCGTTCGAGACTAGGTCTCAAGCACTGCATCTCCCATGTCGGGAATGGAAAAGGTGCAGGTATAGCTCTCTTCTATGATGAGCAAGTTGAAATAAAGAAACTCGCTGTTGGCCCGCGTTACATTGATGTGTTGATCCGACTCAATCCCCATGCTCAGCAATGGAGGGGTACTTTTATCTATGGAGAACCTAAGGCTAGCGAGAGACACCATATGTGGGATCTCCTAAGGAGGATCAAACCTTTGGCAGACAAGCCTTGGCTCATGATCGGTGACTTCAATGAAACATCATGGCAACATGAGCACTTCTCAAAAACCACAAGAAGTGAAAGGAACATGGCCAACTTCAGAGAAGTTCTTGCTGATTGCAGCTTGATAGATCTCGGTTTTAAAGGTCCCAAATGGACCTATGATAACAAGCAGAAAGGAGTGGATAATGTGAAAGCAAGATTAGACCGTGGAGTGGCTGATCATAGATGGAGCTCTATGTTTCCGGGAGCTTCTATTGAGCACATTTGTACTTCCAGATCTGACCACCTCCCTTTGCTTCTCAGGTTTGGTCAGAGGAAAGAGTGGAGACCAATAAAGAAAGGGTTCCGTTATGAGTACATGTGGGAGAGGATGGAATCACTTACAGATGCAATAGTGAATTCTTGGGAGGACAAGGGGACTGCTGGTGATCTCTGCGAATTTGGTAAAAAACTGTCGAAGTTGCAACAGTCTTTAAATTCTTGGGCCAAAAAGAATTTCGGCTCCATTGTAAAGCAAACTGCCATGTTGACGAATCAGTTGGATAAGTTGTGGATGCTTCTAGCTTCAGTTGCTAGGGACAGGCAGATTAAATCTGTTTGCAAGAATCTGGACGAAATGCTCCACCGGGAAGAGATGATGTGGAGGCAACGTTCAAGAGCTTTATGGCTGCAGGAGGGGGACAAAAATACCAAGTATTTTCAGCGGAAGGCTACGTGGAGACGTAAGAAAAACACAATCAGCAAATTAAAGGATGAGAATGGAAATTGTGTGGAAGAGCGTGCCAAACTGCAGGAGATGGCGACTAGATTTTTCAAACAGCTATATACCAAAGAAGAAGGAGTCGATCCCAGTGTGATTGTGGACGGCCTGAATGTAAGAGTTACGGATGAAATGAACCAGTCCTTGTTAAAGGAGTTTTCTGAGAAGGAGGTCAGTGATGCGCTATTTCAAATAGGTCCTCTGAAAGCTCCTAGTCCCGATGGTTTCCCAACCAGATTCTTCCAAAGAAATTGGAACACGGTCAAGATGGGCGTGGTGAGTGCGGTCCTGAAGTTCTTCAAGGAGGGGGTCATGCCGGAGGGGATCAACGATACTGTCATAGTGCTTATCCCAAAAAGCAATAACCCCGAGTACCTTAAGGACTACAGGCCCATAAGCCTATGTAATGTGATATACAAGGTAATATCAAAGTGCATGGTCAATCGCTTGCGGCCTTTTTTGGACAAGATTATCTCAGAGACTCAAAGCGCTTTTATCATAGGGCGTTTGATAACAGACAACGCCACTATTGCCTTTGAATGTTTTCACAAAATCCATCACAGCAAAAACCCTGCCAATACGCATTGCGCCCTCAAATTGGATTTGGCAAAAGCTTATGGTAGGGTAGATTGGGGATTCATGGAAAAGAATTCGCTGAAGCTAGGTTTTGACCATAGATGGGTCTGTTGGGTGATGACTTGTGTGAAATCCGTGAGGTATTCTGTTAAATACAATGGGGAACTGCTTGAGATGTTTCTTCTGACGAGAGGTCTCTGGCAGGGAGATCCGTTAAGCCCGTACCTGTTCCTTTTCGTGGCGGAGGGCCTTACAAGCCTGCTGAATGAAGAGATTTGACAAGGAAGAATTACCCCTCTGAAGATTGCTAGGGGAAGCCCCGGAATCTCCAACCTCCTGTTCGCCGACGACAGCCTCCTCTTTTTCAAGGCATGCAGAGAGGAGGCGGTTAATATGAGGCGTATCCTCGATGAGTTTCAGAAGGGGTCGGGACAACTGCTTAGCAACAGCAAATGCTCCTTTCTTTTTAGCGAAATGTGCCCGGCTGTGACCCAACCCAACAGAATATTAAATCTGAGCTAGAGATAAATTCACACACCTTTGATAGCAAATACCTTGGTCTGCCCACTCCAGAAGGGAGAATGAAGGAGGCTATGTTCCAACCGATTATGGAAAGGTTTGTTAAGAGATGTACAGTTTGGTCTGAGAGGTTTATGTCCCATGCGGCAAAAGAGGTCTTAGTTAAATCTGTCCTTCAGGCCCTCTCTACCCACTGTATGGGAGTGTTCAAAATGACCCAAAGCTTCTGCGACAAATACGAAAAACTGATTCGGGATTTTTGGTGGGGGGATGAGAATGGTCACTGGAAAGTGCACTGGATGCCATGGGACCGTATGATAAGAACAAAAAGAGGTGGAGGCATTGGGTTCAAAGATATGTCTCTGTTCAACCAAGCCCTTCTTGCTAAACAAGCTTGGAGACTGATTCATAGACCTGATTGTCTGTGCGCGAGAATTTTGAAATCTAAGTACTATCCGCACGGTGATTTGGTAGATATGGTGTTTGCTTCAGACGCATCTCCTGTCTGGCGGGGCATTGAGCATGGTCTGGATCTTCTCAAAGCAGGCCTTGTTTGGAGGATTGGTAACGGCAGGAAAGTAAACATCCAACGAGACAACTGGATCCTGCGGGACGAGGGTCTCAAGCCAGCTACCTTCATCCGTCGCTCCAGACTTCGGTGGGTTAACCAATTAATGCAGCCAGATGGTAGTGGCTGGAACAAGGAACTGATCCATCAGGTGTTCTACCCTTTTGATGCTGAAGCTATATGTAGTATTAAGTTACCAGCTTTTGATGCTGAGGACACTCTAGCTTGGCACTATGAAAAATCTGGAAACTTTACGGTTGGCAGCGCATACAGACTGGCTTATTCCATCAAGTATGAAGCCTGCTTGTCGGCATCCAGGTCTACAAACAATGCCAACGACCGAAGCATTTGGGACATTATTTGGAAAGCAAAGGTGCCAGAGAAAATCAAGATCTTTGGGTGGAGGGTGGCCACTAATACCTTGCCTACGAAGAAGAACAAGTGGAAACGCACACTTGAAGTTCATAGCACTTGTAACATCTGTGGTAATGATGAAGAGGATGAATTCCATGCCGTCGTTTCATGCACTAAGAGTAAGGCTCTGAGAAATGAAATGAGAGGGATCTGGGACCTGCCAAGTGAAAAACTCTTTGGGTACACCGGTGTGGATTGGTTGCAAAATCTTCTTCTCCCTTGCAATTCTGAGACTAGGTCGAAAGTCCTTTTACTTCTCTGGCGGTGCTGGTTTCTTAGAGATGATTGCGTTCATAACAAAGGAAAGGAGTTCATTGGCCGCTCTGTTCTGTTCCTTCAGCAGCTTGAAATCGAGTTGATCAGCTGCAGTACCACTTCTGACACTATGAATGGCAAAGGAGTCTGCCGGCAAACACCCCAAATTTTGGCCGGCGAAGGACATTCTCTTGTTCTACCTGGTTCGGGCGCGACCGTCGTTGCAGATTCTGTCCACTGGACTGCCCCTCCGGCTGGTACAGTTAAGCTGAATTCGGATGCGTCCTTCTTTTCCAGCAGTGGCAATTCCTATGTTGGGGCGGTTGCTCGGGATCATAAGGGTGCTGTTATATTTTCGCTGTCTAAGAGGACCGATTGCTGTTCCAGCGTAGAGGAAGCAGAAGCTCGAGCTCTTTTGGCGGGCCTGCAGGCTCTGTCTGTTATCTACAGGGGGCCTCTGATTGCTGAAACTGACTGCTCCGTCCTCGCATGTGAGCTGCAACCTGGCTCTATATGCAGGTCAGCCTGGTTCCCTGCGTTATGTGATATTAAGATGGAGTTCCTGAAGTTTCAGGCTGTTCAGATTGCCCATTCTAAGCGAATCAGGAACAAACTAGCTCACGGGCTGGCAGCGCATGCAAGAATGGCGAGAATATGCAGATGGTGGCGCAAGTCCCTGATGATCTGATGGACGTGATGATGGCTGATGCCTTGTCATGCCAAGAGTAAACTGTATTTGTTTTACTCTTTTCCCTCAAAAAAAAGAAATGATTGTTGTATCTTGGTATGTATTCGGAGGACTACACAATACAGAGGTCTGATTTGGAACGTCAGTGGATGGCAGAGGGTTTTGTTATTAGTAATGAAAAGGGACAAGATAAGGAGAAGGTTGCAAAAAGTTATTTCAATGAGCTTGTCAATATATAGGAGCCTTATTCAGCCTGTAAAACTTGACAGTAAAGGGTCAGTGACACAATGCAAAGTACATGATATGATGCTCGATCTTATCTTGTTTAAGTCAGCAGAAGAGAACTTTATCACTATAGTGGATGGCCCACAAGCCATTGAAGGCCTGGATCACAGCGTCCGTCGGTTGTCTCTCCGCTTGAATGGTGGAAATAGTGGACCAATATTACCAGCAAATATTAGTATGTCACAAGTTCGGACAATTATGGTCTTTGGGTGCATTTGGGATATACCTCTGTTAGAGTTCAAGTTTCTTCGCGTTCTTTTTGTTCCCAACAACTTACAAAGCAACTTCGCTGGATTATGTAAACTGTATCACCTCAGATATGTAAAGATCACAAGTGATGCTCCATGCAAGCTACCAGCACAGATTAGAGGGTTGCAACACTTGGAAACACTAGATGTGTGGGGTTGTTCCTATGAACCATCAGATATTGTTCATGTGACAGGCTTGTTGTTTCTGAATCTGGATTATTTTAGATGTTTTCCATGTCCAGGGCGCGATGAGCCTGGTGGGATCGGGAAAATGAAGTCCGTGCGATATCTATATGCATTTGATTTGGAGAAGAATTAAATAGAAAATGAAGTCCCTCCCTCACTGACCATGATATAGAAATCCAACTGCCAGAAGGAGGACTGATGGTTATCTATGGGAGGGCATTCCCTGTTCTAAAGCGCTTCAAATTACATCATATTTGCAGTGCGTTATACCTGGGCTTCCATGCTGGGGCAATGCCAAAGGATCAATGTAGAATTCTATGCCAAAGGATCGGAGAAGGAGGAAGCTGTACTAGCTGGCTTTCAGCACTTGTCAAGATTTTTCTGTAGAAATCCTTGGCTTAGATGCAACAAAATCTGACAAGAGGTGCACGGAATCTTCCTTGAAGAGTGCTATCAAAATGCATCACAATCATCCTCGTATTAAAACCAATTGTCAGAGCTGTTATAGAGTATCGTACTCCAATGATGACTAATACTCTTTGTACTCTGCAGCAAGCAGCTGGTAGCTGCTTGCTGCCGAGTACGAAGAGAGATCAAAGTTTTGTGTGACCTGGAGATAATCATTACTTGCCAAACATCACATGCCAAGTTGTTGTGATTTTGTAATTCTACTGCGAGTAGCGAAGATGTCCACATTTATAACACACATGGCATATCTGACAAAACGAGTGGCATGTAACTACATGGCCAAACATCTTGGAAGAGATCAGGAAGGGATACTCCAAGAAGGGATCAGGAAGGTATATAGCTCATAGAGTCCAAGTCGCCATGTAGTTGCCTTTCCGGGTCACTGATACTAAACAGACTACTCACACGGAAACATCCAGACAATATCAAAGCTCCTAATTTCATGACACGAGAAGAAGAAAAACAACATGAACCATTAGATTTAGAGGAAATGACTGGAGCTCCTTTGGTTGTTAAAAAAGATATGAAGAATAAGGAGCAGGCAAAAAATAAGAGGGAGGGGATGAGAAAGAAGAGGGATGAGTTGATAAAGAATAGGCAGCAGAATCAGCAAACAGAGGAGGAGATCATCTTGCTGCAGTGCAGGATGATAAGGCGGATGATGGGGTCCACATTCTCCAGAAATTGCTTCATACGCTGTATTTGAGGCGCCCATTTGACAAACGGATGTGGGAGGCCACTGCAAGTCTAGTGGAGCACGTTGCCAGTGGGATCCGTTTGGTCCAGTTCCCGTGAGGGATCCAATGCATATCTTTACTCCTCGACTGCTTCGAAGAATACTGCCAACTCCAGCCATATCGATCATCATCATCCTCTCTTCACTGAACACAAACGGAGACACTACAAGGACTCCACCTTCATCAAAAGCAAACAATGGTCATGATGACAGCAGCATCCACACTTCAACAGGGTGGTCAGAGTTAGAGTACTCAGAGTCAGAATCAGAATCAGATTCAGAGTCAGATTCAGACAGGGTGGTCAACCAACCATCATCATCTAAGATGCTCCATGGCTACAAAGAGCTAGTTCTAATTGGCCTGAATATCCTATGGGGCCTTTCAGGCAGCGAGGACAACCACGCAATCATAAAAGCAACCGAAACATCCTGTCTCAAAGATCATGGCGCCTGTTACCTACGACCTAGTGCATCACGCAGGTCATAGTAAATGACCCACTATGAAATGTAGGAGAAATGGGAGAGGGAACGCTAAGTATTTTTTTAGAAGTATAAATACAACAAATAATAGTGGCCGGGATCACGGCGGAGCAGCCATGGCGCCAGCCAGAGCCTGCCTATAGTTTGATGGCGCCAAGACGGCCGCCTCCGCCACATGCTTCAGGCGCCTTGATGATCTCGCTGGAGTCCATCGCGCAGCCTACAAGAGTCACCAGTCGTGGTCAGTCGCCTTGCCAATTGGGCTCGAGGACACTCCCTCGGTAGGGTCTGGTCTGGTCTGCATGGAGCAATTGTGCTGTCTAGAGAATGGGCATGTTCTTTTAGAACTCAAAGAATGAGCAAACGTTGTACATACTCGGGCTCGACCACGTATGGGTCGGCAGGGGAAACAGAGCCCAAGCAGCAGGTATAGTCCATCTAAACATTTTTTTTCCAGACAAAAATAAGTATAATAGGCAAGCATTTGAAGCTACAGGCAACCATCATTGATAGTAGAGAGGAGGGCCCCAAAAAACTGGATCGCCCCACGTCGCTCCTAGGAGGAGCGACTCAGGCGGATCCCAGGAGCGCAGCCGTTACCCCTTCCTCCTCCGATCCTACTCCCCCCGTCGCTTCCGAAGGACGCCTCCGGCCTAAGGCCGCGAGCCTGATGGCTGTGGCGGGTCCTCATCCTTCTCGCGCGACTGATGGTGGCGCGGGGGCATCCTCTCTCGTGTTGCGGGTTCTTCGGCTGGAGCTCCATGGTGGCCCTGGACGGCATGGTTCTTACAACGGAGATGGGCGCCGGATCAACATCCCCGGATTTCTCCAGCAACCTTGACTGCCTCTGTGGCTGCGAGGGAGGCACAACCTCTGGTTCGGGGGATCGGTGCGGCTCAGCTACTCATCTCTGTGTGGTGTGGGTGGTGGCGGTGGTGCCCGCTGAGATCTCCATCCTGCTGTTGAGAGCAGGTGGGTGTCACGGTCCTTTCTTTCTTTTTGCTCTAAGATGGTGTTCTGCCGGTTGCCGGCCCTCGTGGATCTGGGCATTGACGAGTTCTGGAATGCTTCGCTGGAGATCTTCATTGGGTACTTGACGCCTATATATTTCTGTATCGGATGGGATTCAGTCATGTGCACCCCGATTTCAGCCCAAGTGGCTTCAAGAGGGTGTGATATGAAGTTTCATTGTCTGTTGACAGTATGGGACACGTCGGTATTACGATTTTCATGGTGAAGACAGTGACAGAGAACGTCATGGTGGCTGAGGTCCGAGGCCATGCAATTGCGGATCAAGTCTTCGTGGCGATGAGGACTTTGCTTGGTGATTCTTGACTCGTGGCAGCGGCATCGGCAAGTGGGGGTGGCAGCACAGTCAAAGTATAGAGTCTTAGCTTTTAGGGTGAAAGCCCAAGGTGTGGACTTAATTAATTGGTTGTGCCTGACAGTGACATTGTTGAAGGCATTGTTTTGTGAGCGCGGGTCTTCTCTAGGGTGAAAACCTAAGATCTAGCGTCGGGTCATAATGGTGCTTTTACATCGTTTTCTTCTTGGAGGCGTCACTTTTGGAGAATTGGGACTTCGGGTATTGTCTAGGTGGTGGCTCGTGCTGCAGCTACAAGGAATTGATCACCGCTGCGGGATTTTTTTTGTCTTCTTCTTCTTATTGTCTTTTGGTTGTGTGCATCCATAATGTCTTTAAGATATTTCGTTGCAGAAGTTGGGTGTAATTGGTATCTCCGTGATATTAAAATATTCACTATGTCGAAAATATGAGTATAATTTTATTAAGGACTTAATTAACATGAAACTACTATAGAGCTGGTAGTAGACTTTTCTATTAGTCATGATATCGTGCCAACCACATAAATGCACACCACAGACATGATATTTCTAGTTATTTTTATATTACGAGTTTTTTTTGCGAATGATATTACGAGTTGTATATGAATCAGTCAGCAATCTTTTGTAATACGTTTTTATTGTAATCAGTCAGCAATCTTTTACTTAGATAAGTTATGATTGACAAGGACGGTTGAAATTCTATTGCAACCACCTCACATTTTAATTGTACCAAATCTCTCTTAATGTAGTAAGTCTCGGAGATTAAGGTAACTAAACCGCATATACATAAAAAAGGTTTCTAAACTGGATTCGAGCAAACTCTTTATATAATAGCTTGAGGTTGACACAATCGATCGAACCTTTACTCAACTTTATATAACAGGTTGAGTATGGGGATGGTTTCCTTTTTACATGCGTGCAACATTCTGCCCAAGCGATGCTCTTATTCAGATAGGCCATAAGTGCTACATGTGTGGACAACTATACCATTTATGGTAGATTTAAATGATTGCATCGATTGGTATGTGGTGTTTGGAGAAGCAATAATGATGTCCATGCCACACACAATGTTGGTCACTCGTTGGCCTCTTATAAATGACTAGCTTATTCCCAATGCAGCATGGTACATTCGGTTGCTAGGGAAAGAATGGTGAAGTGTGTGCGGAGAGCAACACCAACGAGCATGATGAATGGCACGGGCCGTCACATAGCATTATTTAGTGGGGAATGAGATGTATTGGAAACAATGACTT